GATTCCAGCCACTGACAGTGTCCCTAACTTCCCAGGAGGCTAGCGCTTTAATGCCAAGAGCAGGCGCAGCACAGGTCTCGGGCTTGGCCACAGAAATCTGGATTTCACTCTCCTCCCACCTGAGCCCCCACATCCAGACAGGCCTGAGTCGTGCCCGCTGCATCTCCTAAGCAGCTCTCCACTTCCGTCCCTCCACCCCCGCTTCCCCAGCCGGCTCCTCACTGGTCTCCCTGCCCCTCCTTTCCCAGCTGCCAGAATGGCTTAGTGAAGCAGATTCGGGGGTGTTTCCCTCCTGTGAGATCCCCCATGACGCCTCATGGCCGGAAAGAAGCCCAGACTGCCATTTGTGGCCGACAGAGCCAGCCTGTACTGCCCTTGCCCCCTGACCCGCAGCCAGTGTCCCCTTAGCTGTGGCCCATGGCTTATCAAAGGAGTTGAGATTCCCAGAGTAAGCCTGGACAGTGCAGGCCAGTGCCTCTGCACACCCAGCTCCCTGGCTGCCCCCTGCTCCTGTGCTGGCTTGATTTCTCTTTCCGACTCAGGCCAGGCTGTGTCTCTTCTGGGCTGCGCTCCCTGACTACCCCTCAGGTGGGCCCTGAGGACATTCCACGTGCCCCTGTATGCCCTGGGCATTTTCCTCCCTGCGGTTCCATGATCCTCGTGTGCCTCTCATTCGCCTGCTCCCTTTAGATTCCGAACTTCAGGGCTGATCACTGGAGTCTGAGCAGCCAGCCAGGCATCTAGCATGTAGGAGGCTCTGGGGGTGGGTCCTTCTCTCCTTCTCTTTGTCCAAAGTGGACTCTCAAACAAGAACAGCAAAAGTACTGGCCTTTTTTGTCGTTTTAGAAAAGATTGTTTACTGTTTAATTGCCAGAGGGCAAGTGCCAGAGAGGTAGAGGAGAGGAGAGAGAAAAAGCAGCCCCATGGGACGTGGTCACATGGCTGTCCTGTCTTCGTTATTCCATCCTGTGGGGTCTCGGGGCACACTTGTGCACCTCTGTGTAAGTCCCAGCCGCTTTAAGGATGAAGAAATGAATCCACTCTGCCCCCTCCTGCAGAGCCCCATGCAATGAAGGAAGCCGCCCACGCACAGAGAGCTGGCTGCTCTGGGGCCAGACCTGTCACAGACCCAGAGGGCCTCAGCTGTCGGAGGAGCAGCCTGACTCCGCCCCGCCCAGACCACACCTGGCGAGGGCAAGGAGGGACGTGCTGGCAGACAGCGGCACAGCCCTGCAGTGTGGAGTCCTGGCCGCCCAAACCGCCTGGCCCCACTGATCCTGTGCGTGGCGAGGTGCTCTCGTGATTCCTGCCCAGCCTGGCCCTGTGCGCGTGGGGCACCCTTGTCATTCCTGCACAGAACAATTGCTGCTTTATCTCGCAGCGCCTTGCATCACATCCATTTCCTCGGAACGTTTTTCATGTTCCTTCCCAGCCCTTGTTTACTTTGGGCATTTCATCTCTCCTCTTGGTGCCCTTTGCTGCCACCTAGTTAATGGCTTGTGGCTCTAAGTTTTGTCGTGTCCAACTCTTTGTTTTTATTCATTGAAACCAACAAAAATTAAACCAGAAAATAGAGCATATGTTTGCTTTTCCAAAAAGACGTTTAAAAAACGTTTTGCTGCATAAAACTGCTAAGAGGAGACCACGGTAAAGGCATGATTTCTAGGGGATGAAGTGTGACCTAGCGGAGCAGGCCTGCTGTGGTCCTCAGCCCTGGATTCTGATGGCATGGACACTGGCTGAACATGTTCTTGGGCTCCCATAGGGAGCAAAAAAAAAAAAAAGGAATACATCATAAAGGATGACCAAATTCCATCATTCTCCCAATTTGCAAGTGAGCGGCTGATGTCTGGAGTGACAGTGACTCAGCCACGGTGCCTGAAGGCTGGCGCCTGGGACCCACCCACCCTCCACCCCGCAGTTGCACTGAGCCTGTTGGGTGTGAGGCGTGATCCCACTCGTCCGGGAGGAGGGTCCGTTGTAGCTGCTACGGCCCAGGCGTAGCCCTCCCTGTTTTCTTACTAACACTCAAACCCATCTCCTGAGATGTCAGTGCTATTATGGTTCCAGATGGGCAGACGCTGTGTGGGGCATTGTCCCTGTCCACACCCGTCAGTCGGAACCCGCGGTGTCCCACTTGGCAAGTAAGAAGACGAGGCCCGGAGAGGCTGATTGACTAGTGAGCCCGGCAGGCGGGGAACGTGTGGTAGCAGGGGTTTGAACATAGTATCTCTCACTCCAGAGCCCTTACTCTTCCAGCACCCTCTGCCATTGTTACTCCAGTTTAACAAAGTTACAGAGAGAATAAGTGGGAGAGGTCAGGCTGCTGCTCAAGGCCCACAACTGTGAGCACCAGCAAGTGCCGGGTGCCACCCCTCTGCGCTGTCTCTCCCAGGGGTAAGTGATAGCTCTGAGGGATGCCGGGTGCTGCCCCTCTGCGCTGTCTCTCCCAGGGGTAAGTGATAGCTCTGAGGGAGGCCGCACGTCGAGTTGACACATCGTGCTACGGGCCAGGCCTGCTGGTCCTGGGGTGGGGCGGTGTGGCGGGGGGAAGAGGTTCTGCCTTGAGCATTTGGCCAAGGGAGGCCAGCCTCACACAGCCTGTGCCCACGCGGCCTCCCTCCATCAGCTCTTGGACACGTATGACACGGCGGCCGTGGGTGGGAGTGTGGGCACCTGCCCTGCACGCTGACTCTCGGAGAGAGTGAATCACTGACAGCAGAATGCGGTGTAAAAACACATTTTTCAGGTACACTTTTCCCATGTAGGATGGAGCATCTGGCTACACACTTTCTAGCTAAAGGACTACACAGCCTTTCATATAATATCATGAGTCCCGCTAAGTAGTCTGCATGGGAGACGCTGTTTTGAAATGACATAATGGCACCTCTTAGTCAGTCTCTGACGATTAAGTGTTCTCAGGGTCCAACCCAGGGCTGCGATCCTGGCACAGCCTCCCCAGAGCATGGCCGCTGCTCCAGGCTGGGCTCCCTCCCAAGGCCATCCTGTGCCAGCCTGCTGGCTTGTTCTGTGCAGCTGTTCGCCTTGGGGGTCCCTGCAGGAGCCCAGTTCTGCCGAGCCAGGACTTTGTCCTCATCCTGCTGCATGCCCCAGTTCATGGTGCAGGGCGGAGAGCAGCCTCAAAGATACACGTCGGAGGGATACACGACATCCCTGGGCAGAGTTGAGTGGTAGAGGATGCTGTGCTCATCATGAGAAAATGATCAGTATACGAACCGTTTTGTTGGTCATTTCTCACATCAGGTCTGTGTGGAGAGCTTTGTATCGTATCAAGTTCCACACCAGTCCTAAGGGGCATGTTCTAGAACACTCC